CCCCCCCCCCCCCCTGCCCCTCATCGACGATAAAAAATGACCGGTCCCTTAAGGAAAAGGAGCAAAACTTTTTATTAAATTTGGTGAGGTGGAAAAAATTGAAAAGGGTGAGGGTTTGAATGGCTGAAGTCCATCACTTAAAACAGCTGCAGCGCATTTTTCATTGCTTGACACTGTTAATACACTGACATTATTGACTAATAACGAAGAGTTTTCAATACTACTGCATTTTCTTCTAGTTTGTCCAGGGGCCTGTTGTCACTGTTCCTTCCATTCAATTCTTGTATCTTGGTTATAATTTTGTAGTTAAAATTTCTAGGAAGGGGGTTGGGGGTTAGTGGTTTTGCAGAACCATCTACACTTACTTTAACGTCTATGCATTTAGCAATTTTGTGTCCATTGATAATTATTATATGATCTTGTATTCCTCTTCAACTACAAATAGATCAAAAACTACTCCTTCAGAAGACTTTTAAAGGAAATTTTAAGCTAGCACAGTTTAGCAAAGAAGGGGACCCTGTATAAGCCAGAGGGCAATCACAGGCTTAATAACAATGGTGAATCTGGGCAGAATGATCCCAAGAGCTGCATAATACACAGTCTTTCCACCACCAGTTGGCATTAAGGCAATCCAATTATTATTCTTCAAAATAGCATTCACGCCATCTTGTTGTTCGCTATGACAAATGAAATATCCAAACACAATTAATATTTTTTGAAAAGAGTCTAGGGCAACATAACCTGTCTGGCTAAGTGGCAGTTACGGTGGTATCTCAGCAACAACTTCAGCCTCCTCCATCGGGTAACAAAATTGTCTTTCAACTTAAAAGTACAGTTACCAATAATTGAATAAATTTGGGCTAGTACCTTCACAATATGAGCGAAAATCGAGATACAAGAGCAATTTTCAATGCGTCTCACTGCGCAGACGAGTTTGATTTAATACATGCCGGCCATATGTTTCTCCAAAGTGCGTTTCAGTTTGGCTTTTTTATGGTTGAAACCTTGTTCTTTATTCCCTAGCTTGTTATACAACGTGGAAAACCCAAATTTATTAGTTTCCGGTTAAATTCCTCGCCGATAAATCAAAGTTTCAGTTCTGTACTACTGCCCGAAGTATATTTAAAGCTTATAATAATTTTCATGCGAACTGTACTGCCGCGTTTGTGTTTTTTTTTTCTTAATCTAGCGGCCGAAATAATACTAACTATGCTTTTCAATACACTTTTAAAATAACACCACACAATACGCAAAAAAAAGAAGAAGAAAACGAAGAACAAGGTAGGGACCTTCATGACGATATTCGGGGTGGGTTACCCGTCCAGTTCCTAACCCCGCCCGACAAGGCTTAACTTGAGTGGCCCTTCTAAAAAACCTAGAGAGCTTACCATTTGTATAGAAAACGAAGAACTCCGGGGAGAATTCAAATGGCACAGTTCATCCCGGTGGAAATTTTCCGGAAAAAAATTTTACCGAAATTTCCGTTCAAATGGCAAGCGCTCCGAGTTTCGCTAGCGTTACTGCGAGATACGTATTTCTAGTTTATGCTGCGATAATGTACATGGATTATCCTCGGTGCGGAGATTGTGCATTTTCAGCAAGTTTTGTAAGGAAGTGTACTGATGTTAGTTTATAGTACGTTGCTGGAGAAGGGGTGGAGTTAACTGTACATAAGGAAAGTGTCGTTCTAGAGAAAATAAAGGAAGTGGAACTGAAATCTCGCCGTGCTCAATTATTTAAAATTGTAATCGAATGTGGTTACAGCCGTGCACCTAGCAGACTTCCGGTGAAGAAGTTACGACGTCTGTTACACAAAAGGAGAAAAGTACGGGTATTTGTATGGAAGGGTATCCGAAAAATATTATTTCTTAATATTCCTCCGCATTCACAATTAATCCACAACCACGACGCCGAAGTGTACGCTCCCACTGAGCGTCTTGTTTGGCTGTTGAAAGAAATCTCAGCTTGTGAAGAATCTGGCAGAAAGTGCCTCTACATGCTCGGTAGCCGCGCTCCAAAATTGGTAACCGCACCTTGAAGAATGGACTGCGTTCTCCTTCGTCAATTATTCAAGATACTGCAGTCTTTGTGTGGGGCTTTGTTGTAAAAAAACTCTCAAGCTTGTTATGCAAGCAGTGACTAAGCAAATTTCAATCGCGTAAAGTCTTCACGCTGTACAGTAGGTGGTCTTTGGTCCGCGACTGAAAACTATTATCTCAAATATCTCACCTAAATCAAAACGTAACGAGCTGAACAACTTCCTGAAGACTGCTTTTATGTTCCTCTCAATAATCGTGAAGTGACAAGTTCCAAACTTTTCCGTATTTTTTTCTAGGCGAAATAGTTCATCATGTTCGGAAAAGTCGCGGATCAAGGACCACATACTGTACTGCAGTTTGATTTGACTTCATTCTCTCAAACTCTCTTGTTATAGATTTTTGTGGTACATCTTCCAGACCTTGGCTAAATTACAGAAAAAGAGGGCCTCTTATTACCAAACTAATCCAGAAATCTGAACCTAATCATTAAGTATTTTAGTAATGCCCTGTAGGATCAATTTGAAACTTCAACATTCCTCCCTGGGCAACCCCTAGGCATTTGAACTGTTTAAAATTCTCGTGACATTAGCCAATATAGTTGTCAAATGCCTCTGTCAGAGAAAAAATAAATGTTTTGAAGGCTGTGAATTTGAAAAAAAAAAATCTTTTAGTGAATGTAAAGAACCCGCAGAGGGGGAGGGCCACTTTTATTGGTGGGATTTATTTTCAAGGGCTCCAGCTCACTAGCCTGCGAATACAGCCGTTTCTCCTAGCTCCTTGCTGCCAGGGACGTTTCGTTTTCTCCTGGCAAAACGTCCTTAGCGGCAAGAAGCAAGGAGAAACGGCCGTATTCGCAGGCTATACTACCAGTTGACATGAAAAAATTCCCATGGAATTATTGGACTTTGCCCTATGGAAGAGTGGGATGTTTGCTTGTTCGAACAATTACAACCCCGATGAGCGTTTTTAAAGGATAATGAGATGTAAGGCCCAAACGGAGCGGTTTGACTTTTTCCTTGCTTTTTATCTTGGAGGGCGGCTTTATTCCCAGACTGATAATCTATCTAAGGATCTTCAGGGTACTAAGATGGCTGCTATCAGTGGACAACGTTTGGCGAAGCTAACAGAAGAAGCGCTCACCATTTCTATGTTAATGTTGCCTACAAGAGTGAAGGCTTGCTTGGCAAATCAACGCTTCCAAGAATACGACGCACTCCGGCCGGACTGGAGCTTGGTGCAGGCGCACCAAGCTATCTGCTGTCCGCTGTGGCAGCTACTCTTTTTCTCTACAGCTGTGAGACAAAATCAATAGGGTGCAAAAACATGCCCTGCACATTACGTATCCACCACACTGTACGCAAGAAGAGAATATAATTTATTATGGGCCAAAACCAAAGGTGCATAAGTTACACCGTGTATTGGCATGCATGCAGAGCAATTCTCTCTCTAGATTAATGGTAGTTTAAAGAAAAGTTTTAGGCCTAGATGCACACCAAAACATTGAAGTTTTCCGTAATATTCTTAAAGGTTTTTTTCTTTCATTGCATATTTCCTCTTGTACATGATTATCATGATTAACTTATCCCTATCCCTGCGATGTTGAGTGTTGAATTCCACAAATACAGTACATCAATTTGAGTTCATGTAGATAGTTCATGGTTTGAAAGTTGTTGCCACTGTGACTTAGCGTGCACTCAAACTTATCAATGAGTGGTCAGTCACTTTTTGAGTGATAAGGCCGTTTCCCCTTTAGTGAATGGAGGTTAAATCCAGGTTTCGGTACCCAGAAAAAGTGTCCCTCTCCCTTGAATAGAGGTTTCCCTTTAATAGAGATACCCAAAGGAGAGGTCTCACTGTATGCAATTTGCATTTTTAAACTTGATGTTTTTACACATACATGTAAATGTAATTATTGTACATTGTACTCACTATCTGTCATCTTATTGGCTAAGAGCCTACTGCTAATTTTGGAAATCAGCACAACCTACAGATTAGTTAGTTATCGGCTAGCAGATAACTGACGATATAATCTGCAGGTTGCGCGCGCAATGCATGATTTCCAATAACAATACAATTAAGGTTCTTTGCGACGGTGTGTTTGTTGTTATTTTTTTCAAAACAATTGCAATAAAACAATTATTAGATTCGGTTTTTGTGATATCCTAAATAATCAAGGTATCTGTAAGTGTTATCAGCCACGGCCTTCGACTTGGCTGATAACATTTACCTCGACCTTGATTATTCCGGATATGACAAAAAACTCATCCAATAATTGTTTATTATTACATGCAAATTTTATCAGCACAGAAAATATAATAGGATCGGGGAAAGAGTGAGCTTCCATAGAAAACTTGAAAAAATTTGTCATAAAATTTATTTAAGGCTGTGCATAAATGTACACTGTACATACGTCACCTGCATTCTCAGGCAACTAATAAAAAATTCCTTTTATCTGTTCAACTTTAAAAATATTTATCTAACTCGTATGCCGACAGAAAAACTCCACGCCCTCATTCATACCTGGATCCTGAAGACATGCCAAAGGAGCTTGATTGGAGATCTATCCCAGGCAAGGGAAACTTTGCTAGTGTGACCCGGAATCAACACATTCCTCGATACTGCGGTTCTTGCTGGGCTTATGGGACAACTAGTGCCATGTCTGACAGAATCAACATCCTTAGGAATGGAAAGTGGCCAAGCAATCTCTTATCAGTGCAGAATGTCTTGGACTGTGGTAAGAAAGCTTTATCATCGTGCCATTTATTACGTAAGGTAGTAGAAGTGTTATGCCAGTGTTTGGATATCTAAAATCTTGAAACTGTCCCTTTGCCATGCCTACTCTGTCCCCTGGTCCACTTACCCCACCCTAGTTACACACATGAATCAATCAGAGCCCCCATATCCTGAAAATTTATAGTTGTGTTGAACGTAGAACTAATCAACAATCACACCTGTGGCTGCAACAATGAAAATAGTCTTTGACAGTGATGTAAAACACAAAAGATGCAGAAGCTGTAACCTGAACTCTAAAGGCAAAACATTTTGGGATTTTTACAATTTAAATCTAAATGCCAGACAATAGCACAGAAAAGCTCAAAATACCATTTTACCGTTACCAGGAATTTTGGTCTGTTTGTGCAGGAGACAGGGAGTTTTCTGCCTTTTCGTGGACCGGGAGAGGAGGCTTCAACAGGTGTTTCCGTATACAAATTTTGTAGATTTACAACGGTACTGGGTGCCACAAGTTCCAGATCATAAGTAGTAATTAAAATCTTTTTTTTTAGCTATCAGGCTTTATCTCTTGACATTTTGATTCCTGCTTCAGCTGTCAAAATGAGAAACGTGTAAAAGCTAGAAATACTTCAGGAATGTTTGTGTTGCGATGAGTCACAACAAAGATGAAGACATGCGAGGAAGCCACAAATTATAAACTGGCTGTAAATTACTTTAAGTTGTTGCTTGCCCTATGGTTTTCTCACACCTGATTGACTTTTTCTTTGAAACACAATGGCATTCCAGAAGTATTTCTCATGTTGTAGTTTTTTCTAAATTGCAGCACAGTTTAGTAATGCCACTTAGATACCAGTGCTTATGAATGATATGCTTTTTACAACAGGCAATGCAGGGACCTGCCATGGAGGTGGAATGATTGGTGTATATGACTATGCTTATTGGGAAGGTATACCTAGTGAAACCTGCAATAATTATCAAGCCAGAGATGGAAGGTGCACGGCATTCAATCAGTGTGGCACATGCACCAGGTTCGGAGAGTGCCATGCTATTACCAACTACACAAAGTGGAAGGTCAGCGATTATGGTAAGAGGTCGTGCTGACTAAAATATCCTTCAGAAATTAATGTTTATTTGCAGGGCTGCCACTAGGGCGCGTGGACTGTTACAGTCTGTATGAGAATGAGCCACGGCTCTTATTACCAAACTAATCCAGAAATCTGAACCTAATCATTAAGTATTTTAGTAATGCCCTGTAGGATCAATTTGAAACTTCAACATTCCTCCCTGGGCAACCCCTAGGCATTTGAACTGTTTAAAATTCTCATGACATTAGCCCAATATAGTTGTCAAATGCCCCTGTCGGAGAAAAAATAAATGTTTTGGAGGCTGTGAATTTGAAAAAAAAAATCCTTTAGTGAATGTTCAGAAACCGCAGAGGGGGAGGGCCACTTTTATTGGTGGGATTTATTTTCAAGGGCTCCAGTTCACTAGCCTGCGAATACAGCCATTTCTCCTAGCTCCTTGCTGCCAGGGACGTTTCGTTTTCTCCTGGCAAAACGTCCTTAGCGGCAAGAAGCAAGGAGAAACGGCTGTATTCGCAGGCTACCAGTTGACATGAAAAAATTCCCATGGAATTATTGGACTTTGCCCTATAGAAGAGTGGGATGTTTGCTTGTTCGAACAATTACAACCCCGATGAGCGTTTTTAAAGGATAATAAGATGTAAGGCCCAAACGGAGCGGTTTGACTTTTTCCTTGCTTTTTATCTTGGGGGGCGGCTTTATTCCCAGACTGATAATCTATCCAAGGATCTTCAGGGTACTAAGATGGCTGCTACCAGTGGACAACGTTTGGCGAAGCTAACAGAAGAAGCGCTCACCATTTCTATGTTAATGTTGCCCACAAGAGTGAAGGTTTGCTTGGCAAATCAACGCTTCCAAGAATACGACGCACTCCGGCCGGACTGGAGGTTGGTGCAGGCGCACCAAGCTATCTGCTGTCCGCTGTGGCAGCTACTCTTTTTCTCTACAGCTGTGAGACAAAATCAATAGGGTGCAAAAACATGCCCTGCACATTACGTATCCACCACACTGTACGCAAGAAGAGAATATAATTTATTATGGGCCAAAACCAAAGGTGCATAAGTTACACCGTGTATTGGCATGCATGCAGAGCAATTCTCTCTCTAGATTAATGGTAGTTTAAAGAAAAGTTTTAGGCCTAGATGCACACCAAAACATTGAAGTTTTCCGTAATATTCTTAAAGGTTTTTTTCTTTCATTGCATATTTCCTCTTGTACATGATTATCATGATTAACTTATCCCTATCCCTGCGATGTTGAGTGTTGAATTCCACAAATACAGTACATCAATTTGAGTTCATGTAGATAGTTCATGGTTTGAAAGTTGTTGCCACTGTGACTTAGCGTGCACTCAAACTTATCAATGAGTGGTCAGTCACTTTTTGAGTGATAAGGCCGTTTCCCCTTTAGTGAATGGAGGTTAAATCCAGGTTTCGGTACCCAGAAAAAGTGTCCCTCTCCCTTGAATAGAGGTTTCCCTTTAATAGAGATACCCAAAGGAGAGGTCTCACTGTATGCAATTTGCATTTTTAAACTTGATGTTTTTACACATACATGTAAATGTAATTATTGTACATTGTACTCACTATCTGTCATCTTATTGGCTAAGAGCCTACTGCTAATTTTGGAAATCAGCACAACCTACAGATTAGTTAGTTATCGGCTAGCAGATAACTGACGATATAATCTGCAGGTTGCGCGCGCAATGCATGATTTCCAATAACAATACAATTAAGGTTCTTTGCGACGGTGTGTTTGTTGTTATTTTTTTCAAAACAATTGCAATAAAACAATTATTAGATTCGGTTTTTGTGATATCCTAAATAATCAAGGTATCTGTAAGTGTTATCAGCCACGGCCTTCGACTTGGCTGATAACATTTACCTCGACCTTGATTATTCCGGATATGACAAAAAACTCATCCAATAATTGTTTATTATTACATGCAAATTTTATCAGCACAGAAAATATAATAGGATCGGGGAAAGAGTGAGCTTCCATAGAAAACTTGAAAAAATTTGTCATAAAATTTATTTAAGGCTGTGCATAAATGTACACTGTACATACGTCACCTGCATTCTCAGGCAACTAATAAAAAATTCCTTTTATCTGTTCAACTTTAAAAATATTTATCTAACTCGTATGCCGACAGAAAAACTCCACGCCCTCATTCATACCTGGATCCTGAAGACATGCCAAAGGAGCTTGATTGGAGATCTATCCCAGGCAAGGGAAACTTTGCTAGTGTGACCCGGAATCAACACATTCCTCGATACTGCGGTTCTTGCTGGGCTTATGGGACAACTAGTGCCATGTCAGACAGAATCAACATCCTTAGGAATGGAAAGTGGCCAAGCAATCTCTTATCAGTGCAGAATGTCTTGGACTGTGGTAAGAAAGCTTTATCATCGTGACATTTATTACGTAAGGTAGTAGAAGTGTTATGCCAGTGTTTGGATATCTAAAATCTTGAAACTGTCCCTTTGCCATGCCTACTCTGTCCCCTGGTCCACTTACCCCACCCTAGTTACACACATGAATTAATCAGAGTCCCCATATCCTGAAAATTTATAGTTGTGTTGAACGTAGAACTAATCAACAATCACACCTGTGGCGGCAACAATGAAAATAGTCTTTGACAGTGATGTAAAACACAAAAGATGCAGAAGCTGTAATCTGAACTCTAAAGGCAAAACCTTTTGGGATTTTTACAATTTAAATCTAAATACCAGACAATAGCACAGAAAAGCTCAAAATACCATTTTACCGTTACCAGGAATTTTGGTCTGTTGGTGCAGGAGACAGGGAGTTTTCTGCCTTTTCGTGGACCGGGAAAGGAGGCTTCAACAGGTGTTTCCGTATACAAATACATTTAATTTTGTAGATTTACAGCGGTACTGGGCGCCACAAGTTCCAGATCATAAGTAGTAATTAAAATCTTTTTTTTCAGCTAACAGCCTTTATCTCTTGACATTTTGATTCCTGCTTCAGCTGTCAAAATGAGAAACTTGTAAAAGCTAGAAATACTTCAGGAATGTTTGTGTGTTGCGATGAGTCACAACAAAGATGAAGACATGCGAGGAAGCCACAAATTATAAACTGGCTGTAAATTACTTTAAGTTGTTTGCTTGCCCTATGGTTTTCTCACACCTGATTGACGTTTTCTTTGAAACACAATGGCATTCCAGAAGTATTTCTGCAGTTTTTTCTAAATTGCAGCACAGTTTAGTAATGCCACTTAGATACCAGTGCTTATGAATGATATGCTTTTTACAACAGGCAATGCAGGGACCTGCCATGGAGGTGGAATGATTGGTGTATATGACTATGCTTATTGGGAAGGTATACCTAGTGAAACCTGCAATAATTATCAAGCCAGAGATGGAAGGTGCACGGCATTCAATCAGTGTGGCACATGCACCAGGTTCGGAGAGTGCCATGCTATTACCAACTACACAAAGTGGAAGGTCAGCGATTATGGTAAGAGGTCGTGCTGACTAAAATATCCTTCAGAAATTAATGTTTATTTGCAGGGCTGCCACTAGGGCGCGTGGACTGTTACAGTCTGTATGAGAATGAGCCACGGCTACTTTTAAATAG